AATTGAATATGTTGGAATAATTAGTATAGATTGGGTAAATTGGTTGTGGCTATTGTTAATATGTGCAGGTTTGTGGATTTGGGTAGTATCCAGTACAGGGGAGGTGCTGTCGAATTTTTTTTTTTAACATTTGAATTTAATTATATAATTATTTGTATAAAATTGTGTAGATGCATAGAACGAAAACCAGAGCTGGTCGCTCACATATGGTCGCAACTAGTTTGTCTAGCAGCGATGATGATATTTCCTTTGGCGCCTTTGAAGAAGAGGCACCTACACCACTTGCGCCGTCAACTGATGATGCCTCTTCCAGCGCTACTTCACAGCGTAGAGGTGGCGTGCCTTCACAGCGAAATTAATTTACCCACCAGTATGAGGCACAATGGAAGGATGACCTTTCAATGTAAGTTTGTTAAGGTTTTAGTTTTTTTTTTAAAAAATTACACAATAATTTATGAAATAATCACTATTGAATTTATTTCATTTATTTTCAGGTTCACAAACATTGAAGCCACCCGAGTAATATCATCAGCGTTTAAATCGACGATGGAGATTCCATTGTTTCAATGGAGTCAGATATCCAAGCATTCTGAATGGATGCCTTAAATCAATGCATGGTTTAACAGGTTTGAGGTTGGTATTAATTTATAATTTTTAGCTTATTAATATAATTATAAATAAATTATTATTTTTATTTAAACTTGTTCATTTATACACAGTACAAATTCTGCTAGGATAGTGAGCATAACACTGTTGTGAGGAGGGTGTGGGAAAATCACGCGGCAACTAGGTAAGATCAAAAACAATTCAAGATTTTTTTTAGACAAAAATTTATGTTTTGAAGTGTAATTTTTGGTTGCGTGAAGTAGGTTGCATGATTTTTTTGTATGAAGTACAAAAAAGGCAAAACAAGCCGCAAGGGATAGGGGTTTCCAAGGCTGGAATGATGTTGCAGTTTGGAGGGATTTCAAACCGATATACATCCCAGAAGATATATGGCCACACTATATTCAGCACGTGATGTTTGAGCGGGTCC